CCCCAAAACCCCAAAACCCCAAAACCCCAAAACCCCAATTTCCAATAAAGTAATTGATTTTTGAAATCTTCATTAGAAACCTCTCTTCTTGATGCTTGGCAGCTCAATCGCTGAGCTAGAGCTAGCTAAGACATGAGACATCCCATAAGAGTTATTCTTGTAGCCTGGAGAACTCAAGTTTATGCAATACTGGTCATAACCTTGTTTCACTCTGCTGTCGAAGGGATCACTCATTGCAATTGTTGGAGTTCCTTCAAGTCCAGGCACAGGAGCTCTCTGAACTGAATTCCTGTTTTGGTCACCTCTTTTACTTTTGAACTACAGAAATTAGCAAATGATATTACCTTCGAGCTCTTTAAGAGATTACTCTTTGGAGTCTGCTGAATGAAACTTGAATTTTTCAATATGCTTTGCTTTGAAATTTTAAAATCTTTCTTTGGCTCCATTGTATTCCCAAAGTGAGCGGTTTTCTCATTAATAAACTTTCCTGTTTCTTCCAAATCTTTCCTGACTTCTTCAATACCTTTATCAGGTGAATTATAACACCCTGCATTCTCATTGCCAGATGGTACTTCTTCGTATCTGCTAAAGGGATCCTTATTCCTGCCATATCCTCCAGAAATAATACTCTGAACGTCCGAATGTTTAGATAAATGAAGCTTATTGATTTTCTCAAGGTTATGCAACTTCCTCTTAAGTATTTTAATATTATGCATTTTTGTCTGAAGTTCCTTCTTACCACCAGTGACCATACTCTTGAGCATCTCGATCTCTTCCTCTTGTTGCCTCATTATCTCAGTGGCTCCATTGGATTTGCCCTTCTTTGATCTTTTAAATTTCGAGTCATTTTTAGAAATCTTCTGCTGACTTTCTTTATTATGCTTCTCTAGATTACTAATGTACTCAGTCATTTGAGCAATCTCCTGCTCTTTTTCACTAAGCTCATTTGAAAGGAGCCTGAGATCCTCAGATTTTTGTTCAAGTTCTGTATTTTGCTGCTCAACGACGCTTTCGAGCTCGTTCTTGAAGCCAATAAGTTTGGTCATGTCTCTTTTCATAGTTTCATAGTGAGCTTTTTTGTTGTCACTAAGCTTCTCTTCAGTAGGGAAAGACTCACCCTGCTTGGTTCTCTCCACTTCTATGTTGTAAAGCTTGATCTCAAGTTTCCGGTTATTTACTCTGGGATCTGTAATTTCAGGGAATTTTGGACTTACTTGTTCAGTTCACTGACTGTAGAATTGAGAGTTTCTTGAAGTTTAGCTATCTCTTCTTCGTAATTTGATTTCAACATCTCCTTCTCTCTTTGTAATTTTGTAGATTTTTTTTGTTCCTGGGCTAATTGAACCTTCAGAGTAGAAATAAGGGTATCCTCATTTGGATCTTCAGGAAGGATTTTAGACTGTGGAGCAGGGTCATTCATGGTGTTTTGGTTTTCTATTTAACTCATTAATTCTCACTATTAATATGAAAAATCGAAAGAGTTGTCTTAATTGAGCAATATTTATAATTGGTTCTTGAAGAAACAAAATCCTGATTAATTTCTTCAAGCATAACTCTGAAATGTTCAATTTGATTACCTTTTTCTTGAATCTCAGGTTCTTCTTCATGTTCAAGGTCATTTTTCTTACTTTCTTTTGTTAAGGAATTTGTTGATTCATTTTCTTCCTCTCCTTCCTCTTCTCGCTTCTCTACTTTTAATGATTTATCTTCATCTTGTTCTAGTGTATTAACATTATTGTCCTCAAGAGGAGTGTCATTCTGATATTTCCCTTCATCCTCTATAATATTTTTAAAATAATTTTCTAGCTGAAGAGCATAAAATTGCATAATTAGTAAATCTTGAATACTGAGGTACAAAATACTAAAAATCAAACATTTGTTGGTGTAATTTTGGCTTAAGACATTCCACTCACTTTCTAAATTCTCCTTTGCATCTTCATCTACTGTTTTTCCTGAAAGTTCCTCTCTTGCCTCAGAACTTCTTTCTGAAGCATCTTGGCTATCTTCGAGATCCTGAGCTTCATCGAGCTCATCTTGGTGTTTGTTTACATCTTTCTTCTCTTGGTCTGACATCTCAGTATTTTCGCAATTATTTTAATTAAAACAATATAATAATTTATTTTTGGGGTTTTGGGGTTTTGGGGTTTTGGGGTTTTGGGG